CGGATCGGAAGTGAAAAAATGTGGTGCATCCCTAAAGTACTTAACTAACTTTTTAAGCAGTCAATTGTCTGGACACATAAATTACTGATCAGTTCATAGTCAGTGCTATAATAACCTTGATAATTGTATTGGCTTTCAGTAGACGCACACTAGTGAGTGTCTGAGAGAGTCATAATAGATTGTTGCTGGTTTCTGTTGCAGCGGTGCACATAGAGGGAATCGTGCTCAGGGGCATCTCTCGGATCAGAAAAGAAAAGGAATACAACTTTGAGGTAGGTAACAATACTGCACACACACACACATACACACACTGCTCTGCTTCAGGTTAAGATGTCTGGCGGAAGGGTTCTTTTAGCATTATTCTGTGTTTGTCTGTGGAAACCTATGTACAGTAGCACTGTAAACACAAATACACACATACAAACTACTGTGAAACACCTTCCTACATTTGTGTGCTCAGCTTTTGGGGGGTTGTTCATTTGAAAGATGCTGCAAACAGCTTGATAGTGGAGTGTAACAGTAATGGCTTGCTAATAAAACAGGCTTTGAAACAACCCACATCGCTGTTTTTTTAACATGGCTCACTGGCACAGGGAGACCGTGGTATTTCCACATGGTCTCTTTCAGTCCAAAAACCATGTTCAGACCTACAGTGGTCAACTATAAAGACCTTTCTTCACAACAAACACATGCAGAAACGGATGCCCAGTGTGCTAAATATCCAAGTATCATACTTGCTTCTGCCCTATTTTAAAATGTTTATAGTAGTAATAGTTTTTAGGATCTGAGCAGAGCATGTGGTGATTGGTTATTCGTTAGATAACTTCTGAATCACAATCAGGTCAAAATACATGATGGACTGGCTTATTCATATGCTATTGTGCATGACGTGGCTTTCTGAAAGGTGTCTGCTGCTCTTGTTCTTTGGCATCACTGTCTCCCTGTGGTGCATTGTGCTGGTTATACCAGTGCCAGCTTGGAAGTAAGGCTTTTTTTAATCTCCCAACACGGGGACATTTCTGGTTAGGTGGAGCAGGATTGGAACAGGCCGTCAGGAAAAATGCAGGTTGTACATGTGTCCATATTGTTACTAGGGCTGCAGCTATCG